TGTATGCAACCCTATTCTGTGAAAAGTTACTAAGGAGAATGGAGAGTTTGTATATATATATATGACTTGGCGCCTGGAAAGAGGATATGAAGAATAAGACATGGCTCTCTCTTGTTTCTGCAGTGATTGGTTCTTGATCCTTTAGCTGTATTTTGAGCAGTGATCTGGGAATATATTATTCCTATATTTACTGCTGTCCCATCCCTGTCCAAGAGAAACATAAAAGAGAAAATGACTCACAAGCTGTTCGGGGCTTGGCGAAGTAGAGAGGAAAAAAATGATTTGCCCAGGGTCAGAGCTGGTTGGAAAAATGGAAAAAGAATGCTCTGAAAAATATTGAAATTGTTTCCATTTTGCCTATTGAAAACAGAACAGTCTCTTGTTTAGTTCCCTCACTTCCCCAACTTTTTTGTGAAATTTTTGAAAAAAAATTCATGAGAGAAATTTTAATGTTTCAGTTTCCCCCTTTCCTTGCTTTACCAGGGAGTTCAATAAAATGAATAATATTTGGAGTTTGGGGGGGATTTTTTTTCCCTTTTGCCAGTTTACCAGGGAGTTCAATAAAATGAATAATATTCGGAGTTTGGGGGGGAATTTTTTTCCCTTTTGGCAACTTTTTCAAAGTTGAGGAAGTTTTGAAAAGTTAAGTGTCAGACAAAGAGGTAAGCAGGTGCATTCTGGTGTGCAGCTCCGGCAAGAGCTGTCTGAGCTGTGGCAAAAGCCAGTAAGGAGCTATTTAAAGAGCTGGCAGGGATGCGGGTCGCAATAGGACAGTACCTGTAAGAAATTTTAAGTTACTTTCACTTAACTGGTCAGACAGAAAGTGCTAAATAAAGGAAAAAAACAGAAAAGAGTTTGTGTGATGAGAGCGAGAGCGAGAAAGAGATAAGTTTTCATTCTGTTGCATTCAGTGGTAAAAAGGGAAGTAAAGAGAAAAAACAAAATCTCAAGATTTGGAATCAATAAATCTTAGATTTTGATTGGGGGGTGGAGTACGGGAATTATTTCTTCTAAGCATTCAGCTTAGAGATAAAAGATTACTTTGTATTTTTTTTAAACAAAATCTGTCAGAAATGACCCCATCATTACAGGAGCATATTACTGTTAAGGGGGCCTGGCTCTATCATGGTGCTTCTCTGCAGAGAGAAGTCAGCTCATCTAGGTATTTGCCTAGTTTTACAAGAGGCTACATAAACAGCACTAGCAAAGTCAATACAAATTAAAATTTCAGGCAGACACTGACTAGTTTATGCTGCTCTATATACAGTATCCTGAAATGTAAGTACAGTATTTATTTCACAATCAACGTATTTTATAATTCTATGGTAAAAATGAGAAGTGAAGCAATTTTTCAGCAATTGTGTCTTGTGGCACTTTTGTGAGTTTATATCTTATTTTGTAAGCAAGTAGATTTTAAGTAAGGTGAAACTTGGGCTAGAACGACATTAGACTCCTGAAAGGGAGTTGTCAGGAAAGATTGAGAACCAGTGCTTTAACACACTGTTTTGTTGTTTCATTGCTGGGTACGTAATCAAGTTGTTGGCACTGGGCATTCTTGAAATACTTCGAGGTTAGCTAATTGTGCTAAGATTGGGAAGGAAAGAAATGGCAGATTTTGATCTTCAAGGGTTGCTTCTGTCCCAGTGAGGAGTAGCTGCACTTTACTCTGACACAATAATTTTCCAATGCTATTTTTTGTTGTTGTTATATTTATATTTAGAAACATTTTCTGCTCCTTCCCTTTCCTTCTCTTTCTGTGGAACAGTTGTGTAAATTTCTCTTAATATAATACAGCAGTAACATTAGCACTCAAACTAAAAAGAATCCTTCAAGCAGGGAGGTAGTTATCTTTCTCTGACAGGCCTGAGATCTTCTACTGGAATTTTATTCTCTTGGCCTGTGATTACATGAGCCCTTTTACTTTGGAAGAACTGAAAGTTAGTGAAGTTGTCTCTTATCCAGCTGATCTCCTCTGTGCTCTCTTTTGCAGTGAGTATGCAGAATTCAGAGGGTGGATCAGATTCCGCAACTTCTGTGGCACTGCGTACATCTGCGTCTGCTCAGGCTCCGGTTGTGCAGCCAGTGCCGGCCTCGCAGCAGGTAACGTTACTACAGCTGCACAGCTGTTAATTCTGTCTCCATGGAAAACAACCCCAATATTAATGCTGAATGTGCTTTAACTCCTAGCTCAAAGGATTTTGTTTAAAATATCAATTTGAAGCAATTTGAAGTTAGAAACGAAGGTTTCTAACCATTAGAGGAGTGAGGTTCTGGAACGGCCTTCCAAGGAAGTAGTGGGGGCAAAAGATCTATCTGGCTTCAAGATTAAACTAGATGGGTTTATGAAGGGGATGGTTTGATGAGATAACATGATCTTGGTAACTAATTGACCATTCATTATCAGAGGTAAATAGGTCAATGGAAGGATGATGGGAGTTACTGAAGAGAACTTTCTGGGTGTCTGGTTGGTGAGTCTTGCCCACATGCTCAGGGTTTAGCTGATCGCCATATTTGGGGTCGGGAAGGAATTTTCCTCCAGGGTAGATTAGCAGAGGCCCTGGAGGTTTTTCGCCTTCCTCTGTAGCATGGGGTACAGATCACAGCTGGAGGATTCTCTGCATCTTGGGGTCTTCAAAGTATTTGAAGGCTTCAATATCTGAGATATAGGTGAGAGGATTATTCTAGGAGGGGGTGGGCGAGATTCTGTGGCCTGTACTGTGCAGGAGGTCAGACTAGATGATCATAATGGTCCCTTCTGACCTTAAAGTCTATGAGTCTATAAGTGTGCGTGTGAGTGTGCATAAGTGTAAGTGGTAATGAAGCCTACCTATATATTGTGTTCATAAGTGCCACAGAAACATTTGTAATAAAAAACATACACTTTGATTCAAGGCATGAAACTTGGATTTGAACTTAGCCATGTTGCCAAGAAAACCCTTTCCTGCCAATTTGGGATTGCTCTGTTGCAGTGACTTGATACATCAATAAAAGCAATAAACATGCAAATTGTTTAAAAAGGTATCTCCTGGAGTTGAAAGAAGTATCAAAATCAAAATAACTGTGTGGAG